TAGTGCAAAGAAAAATCAACACATGGCAGTGTGGCGGTATGGGTATTTTGTAATCTAACAATACCACTAAGGACATGATATATATATATATGTATATATGTGTGTGTGTGTGTGTATATATATATATATATATATATATATATATATATATGCTCAAATGTTTGCATACCCTGGCAGAAATTGTGAAATTTTGGCATTGATTTTGAAAATATAACTGATAATGCAAAAAAAAAAAGTCTTTTATTGAAGGATAGTGATCATATGAAGCCATTATTATCGCATAGTTGTTTGGCTACTTTTTTAATCATAATGATAACAGAAATCACCAAAATGGCCCCTATCAAAAATGTACATACCCTTAAATATTTGCCCTTGTTACAGACACACAAGGTAACACACACAGGTTAAAATGTCAATTAAAGGTAAATTTTCCACACCTGTGGCTTTTTAAATTGCAATTAGTGTCTCTGTATAAATAGTAAATGAGTTTGTTAGCTCTCATGTGGATGCACTGAGCAGGCTAGATACTGAGCCATGAGAAGCTGAAAAAAACTGTCAAAAGACCTGTGTAGCAAGGTAATGAAACATTATAAAAAGGATATAAAAAAATATCCAAAGCCTTGAAAATGTCAGTCAGTACTGTTCAATGAAATATTAAGAAGTGAAAAACTTGGGGATCTCTTGATACCGAACCAAGGTCATGTAGACCAACAAAGAGTTCAGCGACAATTGGAAGAAGAATTGTTTGCGATACAAAGAAAAACCCACAAGCAACCTCAGGAGAAATACAGGGTGCTCTGGGAAAAGACGGTGTGCTTGTTTCAAGAGCACAGTATGACAATACTTGAACAAAAATGTGCTGCATAGTTGAGTTGCCATAAAGAAGCCTTTACTGCACCAATCTTGTGAAAATTGATGGCAAGATGAACGCAACATGTTATCAGAAAATACTGGCAGGCAATTTGCATTCTTCTGCACAAAGGCTGCACATGGGACACTCTTGGACTTTCCAGCATAACAATGAACATAAGCACAAGGCCAAGTTGACCCTGTATTGATTACAGCAGAAAAAGGTGAAGGTTCTGAAGTGGCCATCACAGTCTCCTGACCTTAATATCACAGAGCCACTCTGGGGAGATCTCAAATGTGCGGTTCATGCAAGACGACCAAAGACTTTGCATGGCCTGGAGGCATTTTGCCAAGACGAATGGGTAGCTATACCACCTACAAGAATTAGGCGCCTCATAGACAACTATTACATAAGACTGCACGCAGTCATTGATGCTAAAGGCAGGATTATATAAAGTGCCACAAGTGCAATATATAATAAAGTGCAAAAAGATAATCCTGTCTTAAAGACACAGCGCACCTTATCTCTGAGTTTTGTATTTTTCAGAGTGTTTTTTGAGCTTTACACTAATTTTGGTGCAGCTTCTGTTTTGTAGAATTTCTTGGTATTAATATTTATTGTTTTTAGACATTTTATTACTAGCGCCTGTTTTTTACTTGTACTGTGTACATATTGATGCTAAAGGGGCCAACACACAGTATTAAGAATTAAGGGTATGCAGACTTTTGAGCAGGGGTCATTTCATTTTTTTCCTTGTTGCAATGTTTTGTTTTATAATTGTGCCATTCTGTTATAACCTACAGTTGAATATGAATCCCATAAGAAATAAAAGAAATGTGTTTTGCCTGCTCACTCATGTTTTCTTTAAAAATTATACATATATTACCAATTGTCCAAGGATATGCAAACTTTTGAGCACAACTGTATATACTAAAACTGTAACATGTGCATGGTAATTCACTAACATTTAAGAGCAATTTCAACATAATTTTTAACTTTCACATTCTAATGTTTCTAGATTCTGAGATTTATCAAGAATAATTTCTCCACTCATCATATATGCATGCTGAATTAATTGTAGGTATCGAGGATGAGAGAGTTTATTTTGCAATTATGATATATAATAGTGATCTACTTGCTACTATCCAAAAATGAAAAATAGACAAGGCAGCAAGTTCAGATTAATTATAAGTCCAGCAGGGTTAGAAAATGTTAGAAAATCACATGGTCTTACACACTAGACTTGTGTACAAATCCTTTTCACTTTCAAGGAATTAATCAAATTCCTGTTAATCTGCACCCAAACAATTTGGTATATCATGTAAATCCAGGATGTATCGATTCGTAGATTAACAGGCATTTGATTCATTTGTCGCAGGTAAAAAGGATTTGTGTTCAAGTCTATTACACACTAATAGAATGTGCCTGAAATACAAAAATACAAAATTAAATCAAAAATCATCTACCGGTATTTAATTTTTACTTATTGGGCATCATTAGTAATTATTCAGTATCATCATTATCTCTTTTAAATGCTGTGTTCTGTAGGCACTCTCTGCTAGTGGGAAACCCTATCAGTGTCTAGTTAGGGTACCTATGCACTAAAATGGTAAATGCCTCTCTTATTAGAACATAGGATTTGCTGAATGGTCTATTGAGAGAATTACTTTGGTGAATAGGAAGTATCTGAATATAATTTAGATTGTATGCACTTGATTAGTTATTTAAGAATTCCAAAATAAACAATAAACCTCTTATTCTATAGTGAATATAACCTTTTTTGATGAGTGATGTGTATTTCTTTTTTAACTCCAATATATAACATATTTTGCAATAAACTTCTAAAATCTCTCATTACGAAAATACACAAATTGTAGTCCATACCTTTAATATACAGCAAAAATGTGGGTACTGATTAAATATTCTTCCCGTAAGGCATGATACAGCTTTCAATTATACACAGTGTTTTTAAAGCACCCCTGGTTAAAAGGGGACAGGTGTCTGTTCATATTAATATAGCCCCCAAAAATTATATGTGATACATTTTGTGTCAAAAGCAAATGCAAACAGGCAGCTGCTCCCAGACAGTGCACCCCTGTAATATGCAGATGTTTATGAGCCAAAAGCTCCCAGGCATGGCCTGTTTTTCATTTTCCATTCACCCGCTATATTTTAAATGCAAACATCCTACACACGCATCCTTAACTTCCTCCTCACCGCTTGTAGTGGTTTCTTTAATCTTTTAAGCTTCTGGGTTTTATCCAACAGCTGCCATTATGAGCACTTATGCAACTGAAAAAAGAAAGGGAAATAAAAAGCACACAGTCTCCAGAGAAATGTTGCATCTCCTGAACTGAAAATGCTTTTCATCCATCGGTGACATAATTTCTTCATAGAGCAAAACATGTAATAATATTTCTTTATTATTGACTTTGAGGGAATATGTGCTTTTAACAATTATGTATGTGTGAATGTGTATTTTGTATATTTTGGTGTATGCTCACGGATAAGTGGAGTTTATTTTTTGATACTCTCCTCCTTTCCACTTGCCTTTATTGATAATTATTATCTTTTGTTTCTAGTGCCAGATCTCAATATCTGGCCACAGCCACTTTTGTCTTCTCTGCTCATGCTCTCTGCTGTTTGCCCTTCTGTGGGATTGTTTTTACTGATCGATTGTGAAAACATTTGATTGGTTGCTGAAACAGAACCTAGTTTAAACCCTTAAGGACACAGCTTGAGAAGCTTGTCTTACCCTTAAGGACACAAGTAAGTTTTTAATTTTTTGCTGTTTGTGTTCAACTGCAATTTGCATCTCTCTTATTTATTGTAAACATATTATATACCGTCTTTTAGACGACAAAAATATATTTAATTTGATGTGACATATACATATATAAATTCTCATTTATTACAAAAAAATGCAAAATAATGGGGAAAAAAACAAAAAAATCATTTTTTTTTCAAGCTTTGGCAGTAATAAATTCTGCATAATGTCCAGCTTAGAAAAAGTAATTAAAAATCAATTAATTTATGTGTCTTGATTTCCAGAGTGCATAATATGTGTAGGATTTCAGTTTATTTTGAAAGTTACAAGTCACAAACTACAAGGTCTTAAATAAAATTTCAACGTGAAACAATTTTAGAAGTTGGTTTGTTTGTCTTGGAAGTTTAATACCCATTACAGAAAACAAAATTGCCACACAAAAGTATACATTTATATCAAGAAAGATTATTTTACCTAAGATTATTTTACCTAAGCTATTTACCTAAGATTATTTTAACACTTTTTACACAGCCATTTCACCGCCAATCTCTGCTAAATATTGGAGTAAAATTTAGAATTTTCTCTATTTTGGCATATACACACGTAACAAGGTTTTTTGTAATGTATATTTGGTAAGGCTGGTGTCTGCTATTCCTCTACAGAAACCCATATTGTGTTCAGCTACATTTGATGAGTGCTATGTCATCTGAGTACAACAATACCTCCGTATGTACCTTTACCAGGTATATGACAACGTTAAAGGGGCACATTTGAGACAGCCATTTAATTATGAATTTTACGATGCCCCACTTTGGAATTTTGAACCTTAGCGTGGGATAATTTTTTTGCTAGCTTGTACCAAGTATAGAGGTAATATGCATTTTTCCCTTTTTTCAATTGAAAATTTTTATTTCCCGAATTTGAAGATTCGAGTTTTCAGATATTAACAAGAGGGTGGGGGTAGAAGGGTACAGAATAAAGAAGAGGGTGGGGGGAGGGGATCGGTACATTCAAGGTAATCGATTTAAACATGTCAATAACAAAGTTATACAAATAGTATAAGGCAATACGAATAGTACAAGGCAATACAACTAGTATAAGGTAACACAAATAGTGTAAGGTATTACAAATAGTATAAGGCAATATAACATGTTAGTAGAGCAATAGTGTTCCCACATATGTCCAGCTCTAAGAGAAGTCACCCTACATCTCCGTTTTATACCAATTAAACTTGTTATACCTTGGAAGCCTTAGGTTATTATCATCTATCAAGAGGTTTGGTGAGCCAGTTTTACGAATGGCTTCCAGATCTTAATAATCTGTTCAGTGAGCTCGTGGGAGGTGGAAGCTAAAAGCTCAAATTTGTAATAAAGAGTTATCCTATCAAGTAGGTCTTTTCGGGAAGGGCAACTGGTGGTTTTCCAGTTTTGGGCTATGAGATGTCGCGCCGCTAGAATTATTAAGGATGCTATCTTTTTGTCTGCTTTCTTCCATTGTGTAGGGAAGATCAGTAGGAGTGTTAGTGTCGGCGATAGGGGTTCTTGAAGATGGAGTAGTCGTTGCAGAAGTGAGTGAACCTGTGACCAGAGTGGTGAAATCTCTTTACACTCCCACCATACGTGCATCATGGTGCCTGTGTGTGACAAGCATCTCCAGCATGTTGAGTTTGTGTTGGGGTATATTTGGTGAAGCCTTTGGGGCGTGAGGTACCATCTGTATAACACTTTTTTATGTGCTTCCACATGTGAGAAACAAGAGGTGAGGCCTGAGAGAGCAGTGAGCGCCGAAAGCCAGTGTGAGTCCGTGAGTGTAGGTATTCCCTCTTTTTCCCATTTTTGTACATAGGAGAATGAGCGGGGGGTATTATAGTCAAGTGTGGTCCTATAGCATAGCGACAGGGCTTTGGGTTTTAGTGGGGATGTATGGCATCTGGAAAAGATCTCTGTCATGTCTGTTAATCTATATGGTTGGATCTGGGGATTCAAGGTTACGTGAGTGGAGATGACACTTTTTACCTGTAGGTATTGAAAGATACAAGAGTTAGGTATGTTATATTGTGTTTGCAGGGCTGGGAATGGCTTGATTCCTTTTTGTGTGCATATGTCTTGGATAAGTTTCACTCCATACTTGGTCCAGGTCTTTAAGGACAACCAAGGTGTCAGTCTGGTCAAAGCTTCAATCGGGGCCTGTAGGCAGAATTTCCCTTTTTCGGTTATAGTAGCCATTAGCCTGTCCCAGTATTTAAGCATCAATGCAGAGGTGGGGTATAGTGACAATTTCGGTGGTCGATGGATCTTAGGGGACCACATGGCGTGGAGTAGGGAGTGCGGTTTGGATCTATCGGATTCCATATCAGCCCATTGGAACGTGTGTTTCGGAGCATGATATCGAATAGCGGAGTCTAGAATGGCAGCTTCATAATACGTGGTTAACTTGGGCACCCCTAAACCACCTCTAGATTGGAGCTGCTGCAGTATGGATACATGTAAACGCGGTTTAGTTTTGTTCCAAATGAATCTAGCAATTATAGTTTGGATATTCTTGAGAGTCTGTGGGGGTACTTGTATCGGGAGCATTCGAAATACATAGAGGATTTTTGGTAACAGCACCATTTTCACGGTGTTTATCCGTCCTAACCATGATAAGGGTACATGTTTCCAGTGATTGCATAGTGATTTACAAGTCTGTGAAATCAGCCCATAGTTCATTGACAACGTTCTATGGGGGTGTAACGCCAGTTTTACTCCTAAATATGTAATAGAGTCCTGTCTCCAGTCAAATCGAAAGGATTGTCGGAGCAGGTTGACTTGTGTGTTTGGTATGTGGAGGGGTAGTGCTTGTGTCTTGGTGTTATTAAGTTTATAGTACGATATTTTACCATACTCGTGGAGGAGGGAGAGGAGGCGAGGAATTGTATACGTCGGATTTCCCACTGTCAATAAAATGTCATCTGCGAACATTGATAGTTTAAAAGTCGAGGAGCCTATGTCTATACCTGATATCAAAGGGTCGTTTCTAATTTTATGCGCTAAAGGTTCTAGGGCGAGGATGAATAAAAGAGGGGAAAGGGGGCATCCTTGCCTGGTGCCATTAGAGAGCGCGAAAGGACGGGAGGTGAAGCCCGAGCTAGACACTCGTGCGGTTGGTGATTTATATAGTGCCAGAATACCTCGGGTCATTTCTTGTGGGAAACCATATTTGTTTAATACTGATACCATATAAGCCCAGTTAAGTCGATCAAAGGCTTTTTCAGCGTCTAAGGCCAACAATATGCTTTCAGTTCTTTGGTCCGCAATGTGAGATAGAATGTTTAGGATTTTTCTGGTATTGTCGGATCCTTGCCTGCCTTTAACAAAGCCTGTCTGATCGTTGTGTATGATGCGGGTTAATATCGGGCTTATCCTGTTAGCTAACAATTTGGCATATATTTTAGTGTCGCAGTTTAGCAAAGATATAGGTCGGAAATTGGAGCACTGAGTCGGTGGTTTCCCAGGTTTTGGTAAGGTCGAAATGTGGGCTTGTAGCATTGCTGCAGGCATGGAGCCCGTTTGGAAACATCGGGTGAAGAATGATTTCATGTATGGTACAAGGGTGTCCCGAAATGTATAATAATAAAGGTTTGTAAAGCCATCTGGGCCTGGGGATTTGTGCTTTGGTAGTTGGTCGAGGGTATCAATTATTTCCTGGTCTGAGAAGGGTTGAATTAGGGCATGACATTCAGCTGGGGTGAGGGATGCCAATTCAATATCCTGCAGAAATTGGTCTATATCCGTTTGCTTAGGGGGGGACTGTCTTGTGACTTTGCTAGGTTATATAGGCCGCTATAATATTGGCTAAACTCGTCTACTATTTCTTGAGGGTCTATGATTTTCTTGCCTTGGTTCGAAATAAGGAAGGCGATTTTCGACGATTGGGATCTTGCTTTAAGTTGCGCTGCCAGAGTTTTCCCTGCCCTGTTTCCGGTATGGAAAAATTTATGTTTCAACTTCGTTAAGAGGTAGGTCGTTTTCTCCATCTCTATATCTTTCAAGGTAGACTGTAGTTCACGTATCCGTGTGGTGGTAGTGTGAGATGGGCTTGTCTTGTTTGTGTGTGTGAGTGTGGCTAGTTCTTTATGTGTATCTACATAGCGTTTGGTTCTCTTTTTGTTGTTGTAGCTAGCGTGTTTAATGAACTGCCCTCTAAGGACGGCTTTGTGTGCTTGCCACAGAGTATGTATATTCATCCCTTCTGTATCGTTTAATACAAAATATGAATGGAGTTCTTTTTTGATTTGTGCTACCAGTTCCTCGTCTTTTAAGAGGTAGTCATTGAGGCGCCACGTGCGAGTCCCAGAAATGGGGTATTGTGTTGCTAGGGATAATGTAATCGGGGCGTGGTCCGACCATGTAATAATACCTATGTCCGCTTTGACTAATGTCGGAATTAGAGTCGAGGGGATAAGGAAGCGGTCTATTCTGGAATATGTGTCATGAACTTGGGAGTAATGCGTAAAGTCCCTGTCTAGAGGATGAAGGGTTCTCCATGCGTCATTATAGTTGTGTGTACGTAGCGTTTTGTCTAGGAGGGATATGGAGCGCGTTCTTTGGTTCATTGTTTGTCGTGAAATTTTGGCGGAGGAAGTGGTGTCTAAAGTTTGGTCTAGAATGAAATTTGTGTCTCCCCCTATAATAACCTGCCTGAATTGATAAGCAGATGCCAAAACTAAGATGTGTTCAATAAAGGTGTGGCAGTCGGTGTGTGGTCCGTAGAGATTGATTAAGGTATATTGTGCGTTATTAATAATGCATTGAAGTAAGAGGTACCGGCCTTTTTTGTCGCCTATTTTTTTCACTAGTTGGAATGTCACGTCTTTACTAACTAGGATAGAGACGCCTCGTTTTTTTGTCTTGTATGTGCTGTGGTAGTTTGTAGGGAAGTGTCTGGAGAAGAATTTGGGTTGGTTGGATGTTTGAAAATGGGTTTCCTGATAAAATGCTATATGAGCTTTCTGTTTCTTTGCTTCTAAAAGGGCCATACGTCTTTTGTGTGGTGTGTTCAACCCTTTGGCGTTTATAGATAGAATGTTAAGTGTCATGGTGTGTTGATGTGGGATCCTAGAGTGAGTTGCTGGACTATCGTGAATGGTGGGAGAGAGGAGATGGTAGGTGGCTGGTCCTGGGGTTTGGATATCGTAGCATTATCCAACCAATGCGTAACTCGCTGGATCTCTAGAGGGCATGAGTGGGATGACCTGTGCCATGTGGAAGAATCCTTGAAATTTTTGTTGTGGTGGTACGCGATCCCCTTGCGGGGAGGTAAGGACGGGGGGTAAGGGAAGTAACTGGGAAAATCAAACCAACTATGTACATTAAAAAGGTCTCTGCTGTGAGACCTGATACTACCGGTGTTATTGGGCATTGAAGCCCTTATGGGGGTTAGAGGATCCCCATATGCGGTGTGAGAGAACATTCCCTATAGAGAAATCAAGATATCTCCCTAGTTTGCGTGTGTCTTAACGGCAGTGTGGCAGTGTGGCAAAACTAGCAGTCTATAGCGGGCTATAGCCCAAACCTTCGGTTTACCTTTGCTTCTAGGTCTTGAAACAGCATTTCAGTCAGTGTCAGAGTGTAACCAGAGGTGGCTACATATCATACATTTGCAAAATTATACTTTGTATCTGGTATGTTATATACAGTAGCAAGTGCTTATGGTGAGAAACAGGTCACCAACCAAACGAGATGTTATGGGACATCAAGTGGCAGTAGAAAGAGATAAAAGTATATACAAAAAAAAAAAAAAATATTGAAAATATATACAAGAAAAAAATATAGAAATGCACGGTAAAACTTGGTGTGGGCGTAACAGTATTAGCATCGTCATGTTGTCCTGTGACAAGAGCCTGTCTAGTGTGAAAGGCTCGGGATGAGACTACGTGTAGTATTAGGGCTATGAGGTGCATGAGCTCCGCTAGGCCTCTTACATATCTAGCGACATTATGGTTTTGCCCTGGGTATGTGATAGTCTCAGGGTTCTAGAGGGTCGTTAGGCAAAAGGGTGCGGTGTCCCCCTCACGTGGGATATCTATGTTTGGGGATATCGCTCGATTCATTCCCTTTTTAGGTGCCATGCTTGGGTGTACGGCTAGGGAGGGGCTCTTGTAAAAGAGTGTCGCAGGGGACCTAGGTCCTTGGGCCTAAAACCTGTGACCCTCCCACTACTAATGCCCCAAAGCTCGAGGAGAACTAAACATATATAACACAGTAATTAGGTATTACCAGTCCATAGCAACTTTTACAGCATATATCGTGAGAGTTAGTCCATTGGGCACGGGTTTGCATAGGCTGATATAGCGTGGTTCACTTATCTGTGCGTCGAGTTTCCCAATCTTGGGTGATCTTTAATGGTGACCTGGGTACAGATTTTGCAGCCGTGTCGTCTGTGGGGTCTGTGTTGACAGGAATATTCCAGTCGGCCAGTGCTTTCTTCCCTTCTGCCAGGGTCACGATGTGTCTTTCATTACCGTTCCGTTTGACGATGAGGCGTGTTGGGAAGCCCCACTTGTAGGGGATCTCTGCCGCTCTTAAAGCACTTGTGATCGGTGCGAGGATTCTTCTGGCTTGTAACGTGTGGGCTGAGAGATCTGTAAACAATAGAATCTTGTTATATTCTTCAGGTAGGCTAGGCCGTTTTCTAGCGGCCGACATTATGGCCTCTTTAGTGGTGTAGTAATGCACCCGTGTGATGGTGTCTCTGGGAGCTGTCGGTGGTAGGTGCTGAGGCCTAGGTAGCCTATGGATCCTGTCCAATAGTAACGCGGACTCTGTGAGATCTGGGGCCAGTAAGTGGAAAATCCGGCGCGCGTAGGCTCCTAGTTCGTGTGGGCCCACACTTTCTGGAATGCCTCTAATGCGGACATTGTTCCTTCTGTCTCTGTCTTCATGGTCGGCAAGTTTTGTAAGTATCATGTTGATTTTAGTCTCCATGGAGTCGAAGGCCGTCACCACATTATTATGTGCTGTGATGATTTCTTCAGTTTTATTTTCTAAGTAGTCTGTGCGGTCACCCAGTGCTTTAACGTCCGCTTTGATTTCTTTTGATAGCTGGGCGAAGTCCGCTCGTAGGGACGTTTGAAGTCCATTGAGCATCTTTTGAATCGCTGATTCCGTGGCCGGGAGGTCTCTGTGGGAGACCGACGTAATATCGCTCCGTCCGGAGCTCGAGGCTGGTGATGTAGGCCTCTCGGCGCCATCTTGTGAGCGACGGGGAGAGGAGGCCATGGCCGAGATTTGTAGGTTGGGGGCCTCTTTCGCCTTTGCTCTTTTCGGGAGGCGCTGTGCCATGGTGGCTGGAATGCTGGTAGCTTCTTAGCTTGTGGAGAAGGGGGTGATCTCTCTTTGGATGCTTGTCAAATCGCTGCTTTGCGGGGATCGCTCACGGAGCTGAACGTTCACACGTCTGTTCTCATGAACGGTCAGGCCACGCCCAA